ACATAATGCTCCCACCTCCTATTTTCCCCACAACAACCACTCTGTGAGGTAGGTTTGGGCTGAGAGACAGGAACAGCAAAAAAATATGTGGAAAATTAATTTCTAGATTTGAAAAGAAACCATCTCCATACAATGTAAGAAGCACTAATAAACCTAAGTGCCTGGTACAGGCCACAATGTCATATGTGTTATAAAGTCATTATGCAAATGACTCAAATTATGCTGAGTCATTTCAGCAGTGATGTCATGACACGTATGACATCACTCGCTACCACACCTTCACTCCACAGATGCTCATTTAATAAACATATGGGGGTTTTTTTTCCTTCTTGGGCTAATACTCAAATATATCATGATGCTGTTAAAGAACAACATTTTTAATGGGTACCTTCCAAAATATTATGAGGAACGGGGGGAGGGGGGTATGTAGGAATGTACAAGAACCAACATACCTGCTCCATAGCCAGATCCTCACTCTGAAAGTAGCTCAGCCCACTTTCAACTAGGAGTTGAAACTTCTCCAAATTTTGGAGCATGTATTCCACCAAAATGGAGCCATGTTCTCTCATTATCGATTGTGGGGAAAACATAAATGAATAGTTATATTTTTTTTTTAAGCAAAATGAGTTGATATCTGCAGAAAAGCTAGAACATTAAATGTGGAGGACAGCAAACAAAACATCATACAAATCAATGCAGGGACTTTTGTATGACATGTTTTTAAAATTTGATTTTTAAAGTCCCATAACTATTTTGCTTCTCCCCTCAACAAGCCAACTTTTACAGAAAAGTGGGTGTTTAAGACCAAAAAAAAAAAAAAAAACCGCCAAATTTACTGCAGGGTCTTTCAAACGACTTGTCCTTGAAGTGTTTCTAAACGAGTACTACTTACTACATGTTTATTTTGGGATAGAATATAATTAAATGTGCAGCAAAAATGAATCCTATAGTGAGGTAGAGTTATGGCAAATTTGAGACTCAGTGGGGCTTGAAGAAAGGAAGAGTATGGTGGAAATGCAATAAATATGGTGGAACTGACTGTTGAGGGTTGAGGATGGGACAAATATGAGACAAACTCAGTAACTGTTTTCTTAAAAAAAAAAAAAAAAAGCATTATGCCAATCAGCTACAGATAGGACTTCTGTGAAAAGGAGATGGGTACTAATGAGGGGAACAAAATCTTAAGTGGATTCTCTGTTATGTTCTCTTCATCCACTCCCCCAAGACACTGTGATTGGACAAAAGATAGTTCTATGACTGCAAGAAATAGTCTGATTTGAGGGCAGATCTGCCAGTCACTGTATGCAATATTTTATCTCCTATTCCCTCCCTTTCCACCTAACCATTTTAAAAGAGCAAGGACCACATGGGTATTTGGTTTTGTTTTAAAATATTTTTGAAATGTAACAGATAGATAGATGATTGATAGATAGATATATAGATATATATAGTCACATCTCATGAGCTCCACCTCATTGAGAGAGAAAGAGAGGAGGTGGAGCTTTGGGGATGAATTTGATTTGGGAACAAAAGAAATTTGAGCTATCTTTTCCATCAGACTACCTCAAATCCTCTCAGGGTTTTGAATTCATGCCAATCAGTGCACATCTTTTTAAAAAAGTTATCTGTCAACAGCTGAAAATTGCTGTCTTTGGTCTATTGGCTGTAATATCATGGGAAATTCGGAGATATATTAAGAGCATTTGCTGGGTCAGAACAGAGAGACATTTAGTCCAGCATTCTAGTTCCTACAGCAAGGCAGATATCTCCTTCTGTTGTTACAGAAAGTGATATTCAGAGGCATCCTGTCCCCTATCCTGGAGAATAGCCATTGTGAGTAGAGGCATTGATAGCCTTATCCTCCAGCATATTAGCTGTTCAAGGGAATACTACCAGATCCTGAAGTGTAAGTGCTTAAGCAAACTGCACAGTTTGAACCATTTGTCTAGTCTGAATTAGAGAAGCTCTCAAGGGTCTCATGCAGACATCTTTCCCATCACCTTTTGCCTAACTTTCACAGAAGTTACTGGTCATTGAACCATGGAAGCTACTGAACTATCACTTCTCCCCAAATTCTAAAGAGGTAGCCTCTTTATGTCTCCAAGTAGGATTTCTCAAATTTGCATTTGCAAAATGTCTTCCTATTCATTTTCCCCAATGGGATTCTGCTGAGCATTCATGACTTGGGAGCAATTTTTCTTTTTTCTTGCTTAAATCATCTATGTATGTATGCACAAGCCTATGTGTGTTTTAGAACACTATTGAAGTTATTTTAATATTAGTTGCTATTTTAATTCAGTTTATTGTAAATCACATGGGGCTCTCAGAATGCAGTCATAAATATTATAATTATTGCCAGGATATTGCAGATCTTATTGTAAAAGGATTTATATACCTTAGGCAATGCATTCGTGAATATCCTTCCCCCATTTGCTTTAATAGTAGAATTTTACTCTTTATTTCAAATTTACCCTTGTGAATGTCACAGAACCTGATGAAATGTCCAACCAAAGAAATGGAAGTAATCTCATTGATTTATTGGACAAGATCACTTTGTTATGACAAATTCTCCTGTATATACTTTGTTTTGCTGCATCACAGATCACTAACTAACATTTGTCTGTAACTATTCATATGTAAAACTACTGAAGATATTGTCACTTCTTCAAACCCCCTAACTATAAGGAAATGGAGTTGTTTTTGGAATGCCTGGTCAGGAGGAAATGTATATATACTATTTGTTCATCCCAGCATAAACCATAATCAAAGCTTTTAAAAACAGTAAAAAAGGGATGTAGTGCCACCAATCTCTGTAAGATGGCCTATTTCTATAAACTGTAACCCATACTGCAAAAAAAGAAAGAAAAAAAGAAAAAGAAAAAAAGTCTTTTTGCATTTATTGGCTTCCTATGATTTAAACATAAAAATTGTAAGGAGATTTTTGGATCAGGATAGCGTTGACATAACTGGAAGCAACTTAAAATTTTACCAAGAGGTATTTGATATATTTCTCCTACCAGCATGCACTTGCCCTGATGGTCAGACCAGGAGCAATCAGCTGGATCATCAGAATATCTGGTGTTGCTGGAGGACCATGAAGGTGCCTCTGCCCTGGCTGTTCTATCAAGATTATCATTCATATTGGACTCGTCTGAGCTTCCTTTTTCATAGGGCAACACATTCATACTTCTTAATGAATGAAAGGAACATTAAATAATCTAACGCATTGTGCAAAATAGTTATCACAAGGAAAGTATAGCAGCTTCCATGTCATCTGATATCAAGTGCATCGCAACAGTTTTCACTAGAAGCAGTTCATAGAAAGTACAGCAGTGATACATTTAGTGTTACATAAATATGTAAGCAAGTCCTTAGTTACACCTTGGGAATATCTTCTTAAAAACATGAAAACGAAGTTAACAATCCCAACTGTTGCTCACTTCTATTTTCTGGTATTTTAATAACGAAACCTGAAAAATTAGCAGAAATGAAATTCACAGACAAGAAATACTTTAATTAAATATTGTGTAAAATGAACATTTTTATACAGTTAAATATCTGAAAAATGTACAGATAAAACAATCTTATTGTAGGGTCTTTAACAGTAAAATCTATCATTTAGTGAAGTTTCCCATTTGGAGACAAGGAAATATGAGTGTACTGACTAATCTAAAACACAAAACAGATTGTATTTATGAAGAAATGTTCTGATCATGTATGCCTGACCTTTCTTTTTAAGATCAAAACCATACTTATACAAAATTAAACTGAGGCAATTCAGTTTCATTGTGACTTTTAGGCTTTTCCACTTAGCTAAGCCTTATTGACTATCACAGGAAAAATGTGTGGCATGTTTGTAATTTGTGATATATTTATATCAATTTTAAAACCTCTTATAAACATTTCCTGAAAATGTGCATTTTTGTATTAAAATGGTCCCTCCTTTTTGCTTAGAAGTTTAAATCTGCTGCAGAGTGCAAAAGTGATTTTGCAGTGCTGCGTTTGAAAGCATTTAGTGCAAGAAAGAAAGGGGGAAAACAGCTTTGAAAGGATTGGCACTAACAGGCACAATATATTAAAGAGATCGTTCCAGTTTATAAATTACAGTCATTACTGTGTGTGTCTCTACAAAACAAAAATCTGAAAATAAAAAAAGTTACAAAATCAGGTGTGATCCCAATTGCATACAAATTCTTTCTCTTTGTTAAACAGTGCTGAGTTACAGAATATGCAGAGTGCAGCAGAGAGCAGGTACAAAAAGAGGTAACATAGCTGTTTACCAAGGATGCAGGTGACCAAGGTCAGCTATGGAGTTACCACTAGTCATTTTTCTAGGGGGTCGGGGCAAACCTCATCAAAATGAACAGAGGGCAGGCAACTATAGTCACATTAAAAGATTGCACCCCACGTTTGTGCTTTTATATACCATAAATTATCCAGATGAAGTAGTGATTCACTTGTTCTAAGCCCATGGTTAATGGCATAAAAGTTGTTCAAAGACGTCTAATTTTAAGGCATCCAAGGAAGTTAATGTGGCCAACACTGTAATTAAAACATCAGAAGTGAGTTTTATTTTATTTTTTTTAATTTAGGCTTCTGATTTTTTTTTTTCCCCCAGTAAACACAGTTCAGCTATGTGGCAAAGTCATGGGTGGCAACTTTCGAAAAGAAATCAGAAATCAGAGGATATGGAGGAAGAAAAAACAAAAATCCGAACACAAAATAGGAGAACCTTCTGTTTCCTGTGGCCGCATCACATGCACGTATTCTACTAGTATTCATTACAGCCATGTGGCACAATTTTGTTTTAACTATACAACAAACAACTTTATTTCAAAATTATTTGTTCAGATAACTTAAAAATAATATAAAAATAAACAATGTTTTTCCTCAAAATAACAGAAGGATGGAAAGTCAAAACAAATAACTTTCTGAAATACAAATGAAATGAATGAACACATTTTTTAAACAAAAAAAAATATGAAGGCAGCGATTCTTGGCTTAATGCTTTTCACAGCATCACAATACCAGTCAAATGACAAAAAACATACATACAGGAAAAATGGTGAAAATATACAAAATTTCAAAGATAAATACAATATTTATAATCAATATGTTACAAAATAAATTCCCTTGGTGATTGCAAGTGTTTATGTGAAAGGAAGTTGTAATGTAGGACTATTTTATTCCTTATCTTTAAAAGGAATAAAATTTGATCTTCTAAATATTTAAGTGGATCTGAAAAAAATTCAAGACAAGTGTATAAATATTTAGCTACAACTTTGGCAAAATCACAAAAGTCTACAATTTTATAACCACATACAAAACACATTAGGGAAGTAGGATCTAGAAGTCAAAAGGACAATTTTCTGGTACAAGAAACATAGACTTCACAGTAGCCTAAGAATGCAATAGTATACAGTGCTAGCAAAAGTTGAAAAAATGTTGCAGATCACACTTGCTTAACAGGAAGCTCTAGCAGTGGAAGTATATTTTTTAAACCAACAGACAGTAGCATTTTCCTCTGTCAGTGTGCTTGTTGAAGGCAAGAGAATTCAATATCAAAGTTACAATTTCTAACTACAATAAGTTACAAAGTTCCATTTCATTAAGATGAAGTTAAGCAATGATCAACCCTCCCATCCTCCCATCTCCCAAAATTATCTGAAATCATATATTCATCCTTTTTCCCCCCCAACCCCAGTTTTGATGGCTCATACCTCCTTGGCCCCCTTTTTTCACCACAAAAAAATATTTCACATTATAGAGATACACAACCATTGTGAATCTAGTTATGAGTACAGAAAAATGTTTTGGAGGCATTTTTCATCAGTGTTTCATGATAATCAAAATGGTGCATCCACAAAGTTTTTCCCGACACATAGCAAGTACTAGACATAGCCAAGACGTAATCAGAAACTTTATACAAAATAGGTGTCGCTTTTTCCTTATTCTTCAGGACCAAGAAATGTGAAAATATGAGAGAAGTTCAGTCAATAAAATGGAATTGTTCATGAAGAAGTTGATTGTTTGCATGTTGATTCTTAGTATTTTAAATAAACTTTTTAAAACAAAGTTTGTTTGTTTGTTTGTTTTTTGTAGCATTTCAATGTTTTGCTGATTGTATTTTGAAGATACTGGTTCCATCAGCATATCTTATATACTAAACTTGTCCCCTAGAAAGCTCATCTTCTGAACTTGGTGCTACAGTAGCTAAACAAAAAATGAATTTACATTGGCGGAACTACAAGCCCAGACATAGCTGAAAAAAAGAGAAAAAGTACTATTAATTTACTTACATATGTATTGGAACTTGCAAAGAAAAAAAAAACAAAAATAAAAACTAAAGCTGGCCACATATAATCCTCTAGCAGCACCAATGTCTGCAAATCATTAGGAAGCATTCACCAAATCCATTTCCTAAAACACTTGGATTATGATCCAGATGCCTCTGACCACAGCTAACAAAAATACTGTTCATACAGCTTTGTCGGCAGATAGGAAGGTTTATGAACAAAAGGTTGTGCTGAATTAGGTGTCAAGGAATTCCATAAACAGAATATATAGGGGAAATGCATTTGGAATTCAGTAGTGATAAATGCAGAAGTTTATCAGTGTGTAGATCTTCATGGACCAGGTACTGCATGGAAAAGTTATCTGGATAGACAATTAATAGCTCCTTTAATCTGGCAAGACAGTAGCTATCAAACCAGTTTGGGGGTGGGAGTGGGGCATCTGTTTTTTGTATAATAAGCTATCCAACAAGAGAATCCTTTCCTTTATCTACTTGTACATTTTATTTTTAAAATTGGATTTTTCTAACAGAGCTTTTTGTAAAGATTTGGCTTTGACATGAAAAGGACTCTGACTTGTGTGTGTGTGTGTATGTGTGTGTGTGTGTGCAAAGCATCCTACCTCCCACATGTGTGATATTTCTCTTAGCGTTTTGTTAATGGCAAACAGTGGCCCAGACTCCCTAGAGAAAGTCTATGCTGACAGCTAAGAAACAACATGGTCATTTTTGGTAAAGTCAGACAAGGCCAGCTCACTCACCAATCAAGAACCAGACACTTCTCAGGTTCCATAAATGAAAATCTGAATAACCTTATATTTTTTTGTCTTTTCAAGCATTCAGATCTAAATGGAAAGCCTCAGTTTTGACATTCTGTTAATTAGCACTTTCTTCTAATTGTATGCTGACTTTAATAAGTCAGTGACTTTCTGAGATCAAAGTCTACTATCTTACATCTGCTTTGGAATCCATCAAAGCACTATAACAAGACATAAGTTGAAATCTCCTATTTGTTAGCTCATGTTAATTTTTAAAATGTGTAGAAGCCAGTCCCAGGGCTCCTCTCTCTCACACACAAAAAGCTCAGGGTCAAGATACCCAAAGCGATGCATGATCTCTGGCCTCAGGAACTGATACTACCTACTTTAAAGAAATAGTAGCCATTAATGCAATTACTGAAGCACTGTAGGACTACACCAAAGCACTTACAGGGAGACAAGTTCATGGGTAGTCTCTTATGTCTTATCCTAAGAATGGGCCGGCAGGTTCAAATACTAGGACAAGCAATGCTGGGACTTGCAATACAGAATTTCTCTAAATTCTAAATGCAATCAGGATGTACACACACACACACACACACACACACACTCATACACTCATTCAGGATATTGTGTATTAGTTAATGCAAAGACCAGGCTTGTTAAGTAAAAGGATTTTAAAATTCGTCATTGTGTTCTATTTAACTTGCTAGCAGGGTTATAATTTGGGCTGTTTTAACCTAATGGTATTTAAATGTTATGATGACACTGTTTCTCATTAATTTTTGTATAAGAAATATTAATACATTTTTATGTAGTGATGTGAACTTCAATTTCCCAGTTCATTAATTTCAAAAAATATCAATTTATCTCAGATTTGCTGTTACATTTTTTTCTGAAAGCTTGTATGTACACATTTCTTATGTAATACAATCTCTTTGCATGACTATCCATGTGCTTAAACAAGCAGCATAAAGAATCTGAGCTGTATGAAGTTTGTTCAATGTAATTTCACAGCAGCTCTACCATTAAATTCAATATTTCTGAAGCTGCCAAAAATATGTATTATTTTTTTTCCTCTATGGATCTCCTTTCCTTTCCTTTCCTTTCCTTTCCTTTCCTTTCCTTTCCTTTCCTTTCCTTTCCTTTCCTTTCCTTTCCTTTCCTTCCCTTTCCCTTTCCCTTTCCCTTTCCCTTCCCTTTCCTTTCCTCCTCTCCTCTCCTCTCCTCTCCCCGCCCCACCCCGCCCTTCCCTTCTCCTCCCCTCCCCTTTTTTGTTTTGTTTTGTTTAAATATGCTGGCAATTTCCTTGCCTCAGTTTTGCTGGTAGGTGAGGTTTTTATAAGCACTCCCTATAGAAGGACAAGAGTGTTGGGTGCAAAGGAAGGGGAACAAGAGCAGCTTCAAGTCTGGCATCCAGCAACATGCAGTATAAATTTGACTGGCTGCCAATTTATGGAGACACAGAGGCAACTAGCAGGTTTTTGTTTATTTATACCACACAGATTTGATAGTGAGATTGCTAGCAGGGTAGAAGTTAGGGTAGGATGGATTTGCTTATGCTGTATCAGTATAAAGAAAAATCTACTTGGTTACATAAAATATCAGTTTACATGAAGGGAAAGTTCCTCAGATTTAAACCTTTCAAACCATCAAGGCTAGATGGGGAAGGGACAACATCTCTACTTGGAGTATGATTAACTCACATTAAAAAGCATATGCCATGAAAGTGGTGGGTGATGATGAGCTAAGGTTTCTTTCTTTAACTGCAGGACCTGAGGAGTCATATGCAGATAAATAAACCTAAGTAGTGGTCTTTAGCTAAGGAAATCTGTCTAGAAATATTATGGTCAAAGGAGGAAAGCTACTGTTAGGTTGATAACAGAATCATGAGCGAGCTGTTTTTAGGTGATTTGCCTAAAATCATGGCTCTTTTAAGCCTTGGGTCTTTATTCTGGGGACAGAGATATTACATGGCCAAGGCCCTTGCATACAAGCTATAGCATGTATTCAGTACACGCTCAGATACTCTGTTACCTTAGAAAATTTGCTTTGAATTGATATATTAAAGCCAATTGAGTTATAAGGAAGTGATGTAATTTGGGAAAGACAAGCAAGGATACAAGTATGTCATAGCTAGACTGATGCACAAGTACACACTTATTTCACTGTATACTTGTGGACCTACTATTTGCATGATTGTATTAGGTGAAAGTTCACTGGCCTTAAAATTACCAAATGTTATGCCTCGGTACAGAGATCTTTGGGAATAGTAATACTCATGAATTCTTTTTTCATAGAATAAATGGAATGGTTAGAGTTGTGAGCATCTAATTTAATCAGTTTTCTGTGAATTTTTCTTGGGTACTCATGAATTTTGGGGGTGGGAAGAGAATGTCATGCATAACCCACATCTCATTCTACAGGTCAATCATATATGGCAGCTGGTTTTTTCATCCAGTTTGCTGCTTGCTTGTAAAATATTATTTAAATATTAATAAAGATAAGAAAAGACCATGGCAGAAATTAAGCTTATAAAAATGTAGATTCCTTGTACTTTTCAGTTTTCATGAGGAATACCTCTGGTATTAGATATAACTAATGGGACTGGGCAAATTGTGTGCGCTATTTGGAACATGTCTTTGTTTACATGGAAAGATTAGTCACAGGTTTACAGATGGAGCATAACAGCCAGATGCTCTTGCATTTCGACCCCTACATGCCATTGTCTGGATTGCAGCCAGTTCTTGCCAGCTGTGAATTCCTCCAATATGGCAGAGTTCCAACGTAGTTAGCTCTGCACAATGATGCCATCAGGACTGGAAGAAACAATACCAAATGGTAGAGTACTGTGAGGCATTGTTCACAATCTGTGGCCAGTAAACATTCCCTTGTGGTAAATGCAGTTCACAGACGAGGGACAGAGCAGAGCTTCGGCTATCTACAGTAAGCTCTCTTCCATTAATTGACGGCAATAAATACTAATAACACCATTACCATTTAGTAGCAAGTATTATGTCAAACTAGGCCAATAATGGAAAATGCAACCTTCAACCAAATTTCACCATCCTGTAATTCAGTGAAATAGTGGTGGAGACATTTGTTTTCAGTGTTCTGCATGGTCCATTATTAAACAAGCAAGCAAGCAAATCTAAGCACCCCGAGGGTAATACTGGACTTTAATTTTGATGAGGATTCATAACAGAAGAAGCCCTTTCACCTGCTTCTCAAACATAAGCTTTTCCTGGGGAAAAAAAAAATACAAATATGCCTTTCACCAAAAGTTACCATTTTGTAAACAGGGCATGAACTCAAACACAGTATTACCAATGCCATCAAGCATGCGACCTGTGGATAACTTTAATATATTAGTGGCTACCCACAGTTTAGTGACTAGAGTTTTGGAGGAGGAAACTTGTTGAGAGAAGATCAATATATTGTCTTTGAATAGCTATTCTTTCACAGCTTAAACCATCTCTCAAGATTGTTAGAAGAACAAAATGAAAAACATCTGAATTCCACATAAGGGATATCTACATGTAGGCCTTCATCTATGCCTGTACATAGTTAACAAACCAAATACAAGGCATTCCGAGTGGGATGGATGCTAAACTAAGCTTCTTCCCCAGCAGGCTTCCAAACAGTCTTCAGAACATTCAAATTCACCCAAACAGTTATATACACTACTCTTCATGGTATAATCTCTGTCTCACACACACGCAAACATACATAGAAACTTCTACATATACACTTACAAACAATTACATTCATCAACTTATATAAGAATATGTCTGTATCATTTTCCTGGTGAATCATGATTTTACTGGAAACTGGAACAATTATGACATGAGGAACAGTACATGACATGGAACCCTGCTAGGTGGGATATACGTTTTTTTATATTAACTCCATAGTATGGTTTATATTTTCTCCCATGCTACACCTGTAACAGGAGATGTAGTCTTTCTCTGACCATACCACTGATTCTTACCTGCTTGCCTATTAAAGTCCACAACACCAAATACCCATTTAGTTTACACATAAATGAATGTGAACAAATTGAGAAGAACAGATCTCTAATTAGCCATTTTTGGACTACGTTCTAAATTTATATGTATTAAATATGACGAATCTCACTGATTTCACAGGGATAATGTTAAAAGGGGCACATCTAACAATGTTTGAAATTATCAACAAATTTTGATAAGTGAT